GTGGTGAGTTTGAACAACGTCCTTCATGTTCCCGAGATTAGGAAGAATTTAGTTTCTGTTGGACTTCTTGTTAAGAATGGTTTTAAATGTATTTTTATTTCCGATAAGGTTGTAATAAGTAAGAACAAAATATTTGCAGGAAAAGGTTACCTCACTGAGGGCCTTTTCAAGCCGAATGTAATGGTTGTTGAAAATAATAATAAAATTTCAGTTTCGTCTTACTTACTTGAGTCAAATGAATTATGGCATATACGTTTGGGTCATGTTAATTATAAAACCTTACGGAAAATGATTAATTTGGAAGTATTGCCCAAGTTTGAATGTGACAAATCAAAATGTCAAGTATGTGTGGAATCTAAGTATGTTAAACATCCTTATAAGTCGGTTGAAAGGAATTCAGATCTTTTAGACTTAATTCACACAGATATTTGCGATATGAAGTCAATACCATCTCGCGGTGGAAAGAAGTATTTCATAACTTTTATTGACGATAGTACTCGATATTGCTATGTTTACTTACTTAATAGTAAAGATGAAGCAATAGACGCATTCAAGCAATACAAAAATGAAGTTGAAACGCAACTTAACAAGAAAATCAAAATGATAAGAAGTGATAGGGGTGGTGAATATGAATCTCCTTTTGAACAAATATGTTTAGAATATGGAATTATTCATCAAACAACGGCCCCTTACACGCCCCAATCCAATGGGATTGCAGAAAAGAATCGTTCATTAAAGGAGATGATGAACGCATTATTGATAAGTTCTGGTTTGCCACAGAACTTGTGGGGGGAAGCCGTTCTTACGGCTAGCCGAATACTAAATAGAGTACCCCATAGCAAAACACAATCCATTCCATATGAAAAATGGAAAGGAAGGAAGCTCAACTTGAATTATTTTAAAGTGTGGGGGTGTTTGGCAAAAGTGCAAGTTCCTAAACCCAAAAAGGTAAAAATAGGACTGAAAACCGTTGATTGTGTTTTCATAGGATATGCGACCAATAGTAAAGCATATCGATTTCTGGTTCATAAATCAGAAAATCCCGACATTCATAATAATACGGTTATAGAATCAGATAATGCTGAGTTCTTTGAAAATATATATCTGTATTAAAAGGAATGTGAGTCGATTGATGAAGGATCTAAACGACCTCGGGAAGAAACAAAAGAAAGTACATTTAATCAGGAGGATCCAAGACGTAGTAAACGTCAAAGAACGTCTACTTCATTTGGACCAGATTTTGTGACTTTCTTATTGGAAATGAGCCTCGAACATTTAAAGAAGCTATGTCTTCTTCGGAATTATTGTTTTGGAAAGAGGCAGTCAATAGTGAAATAGAATCCATATTGAACAACCATACATGGGAATTGGTTGATCTTCCTCCTGGAAATAAACCTTTGGGTTCTAAATGGATCTTTAAGAGGAAAATGAAAGATGATGGCATTATTGATAAATTTAAGGCAAGACTTGTAGTCAAAGGGTACAGACAACGAGAAGGTCTTGACTACTTTGATACATACTCTCCAGTTACAAGAATTACGTCCATACAGATGTTAGTAGCATTAGCTGCAGTGTATGGTCTTGAAATTCATCAAATGGACGCTAAGACGGCCTTCTTAAATGGAGATTTGGAGGAAGAAATCTACATGGAACAACCTGAAGGGTTTGTGGTTCCAGGTAAAGAAAAGAAGGTCTGCAGACTTGTTAAGTCCCTCTACGGACTAAAACAAGCACCCAAACAATAGCATGCAAAATTTGACCAAACAATGTTGTCAAATGGGTTTAAGATAAATGAATGTGATAAATGTGTGTACATTAAAAATGTTCCAAATCACATAGTCATTGTTTGCTTATATGTGGATGATATGCTAATAATGACTAATTACATTGCCAACATAAATGCTACTAAGCGTTCGCTAACTAGCAAGTTTGATATGAAAGACTTGGGAGTTGCTGGTTTACTTCTAGGAATTAAGATCCATAAGACTCCTCAATGTCTGGTATTGTCACAATCTCATTATATTAAGACAGTACTTTAAAAGTTCAAGCACTTAGGGTTTAAAGTTGCAAAGACTCCAATTGACGTGAATCTTGCATTAGCAAAGAACAAAGGCCAAAGCATATCACAATTGCATTATGCTCGTGTGTTGGGATGCTTAATGTACATCATGAATTGTACACGACCAGATATAGCTTGTGCTATAAGTAAATTGAGTCGATACACGAGCAATCCAGGTCAATCTCATTGAATGGCAATGAAACGAGTTTTGGGATATTTAGAACATACCCAGGGCTTTGCTTTGCACTACAGTAAATATCCTGCGGTGATTGAGGGATACTGTGATGCAAATTGGATCACCGGTTCAACTGATTCGGAGTCCACAAGTGGATATGTATTCACTATTGGTGGAGGAGCGCTATCTTGAAAGTCGTCCAAACAAACTTGTATTGCCCGCTCTATATAATGGAGGCTGAGTTCATAGTCTTAGATAAAGCCGGTGAAGAAGCTGAATGGCTCCGGAATTTCTTGGAAGACATTCCATTTTGGCCCAAACCGTTGGCACCAATATGCATACATTGTGATAGTCAAGCGGCAATTGGAAGGGCTGTGAGCGTTATGTATAACGGTAAATCTCGTCATATACGACGAAGACATAAAACCGTTAGGCAATTACTCTCTAGAGGAATTATCACGATTGACTATGTAAAGTCAGGTGATAATGTGTCGGATCCACTTACAAAAGACCTAACTAGAGAGGTAGTTGAGAAATCATCAAGGGGAATGGGACTATGGCCGAGAACAAGTCATAGTGGCGGTAACTCTATCTAGAAGACTGGAGATCCCAAGATCTAGGTTCAAGGAGATCAAACAAAGTAATTAATGACGGTTCAACATTGTCAACTAAAGTTTTGGTCCATTCTCGTGATGAGACAGTGTTCAGTACCAAGGATAAAGCATTAAGGCTTTTTAATGATTTCTAATTTTGATACGGGGTATATCAAATAGTGTATCTACAGGATGACACATTTAGGAATCACCTATGTAAGTGTGAAGTGTTAGCCGCTTCAAGGAGAACTTTGTAAGGCCAGTTCTCTACGCACTTATGAAACCAGGCGGTGTTCATGGCTGAAACGAATACAACAATGAGAACCAAAGACGGTTAAGGGTTGGTTGTGTGATTTATGGTTGTCTAGGTATAAACCAAAGTTCGACGATTCAAAGATATCAAATCTACCGATTGATCGAGTATCGAATTAAGTTCATTAAGGAAAGTTCAAAGGGAAACCTACTTATCCAGACGGAATTAATCCTTGCTTGCGAATCACACAGTTTTTCATGCATACTTCCGTGATGTAGCCATTCCTCATTCATGTGGGGGATTGTTGGGTTTTTAAGCTATTAATGCTTAAAATAGGGTGAATGGGAAATGGAGGGGAAAATAAAATATTTGAGTAATATTTGAGTTTCCTTCCTTGATTGTCCCATATGGGAAGAGGAAAAGGTTTTTGATGGGTATATAAGCAATTGCTCTTCTTCTAGCTCATAAAGAGTTGAGAAGAAGGCAAGCCTCGCGCCGTCGTCGTCGCTCGCTCACTCGCTCGGCTTCGGCTTCGGCTTCGGATTCGGATTCGGTCAAATGATCGATCGATTGATTAATTTTTGGACCAAATTTATTTGTTAATATAATATTAATATTAATATTAAATCCAATTCAGTTATCCAATTTTCAATTTTCTATTTTTGTAACAAAAAATTAACTACCCTTCAATTTTCCCTCTTTATTGTTGAGTAAATAACCATTTATGTTATGGCATTTATTCTTGGGCCGTTTTACAAAAACAACCATTCTGAAGAGTTGCACCTCTTCAGATTTCAGCCCAACTTTGGCTATATATACAAGTCCATTCTCTCAGATTTTCCATACGAATTTTCTGAGTTCTTCTCCTTTCTTCTGCATATTTTAACTTCAAAGAAAGCAACAGTAAGTGTGATTTGCTACCGAACTTTGTGTTCGCTGAAACACTGGGGTTTGAAGTACCACTACACCAGTGTGTAATTCGTTCTATCCTGGGAGGAAATAATTCATAACCTTGGGTACTAGGAGGGGATTAAATTCCTTGAGGAAACACTGTGAATTCAGTGGGCTCGGATTAAAATTCCATTTCTGTTTATGTTAATTTATATTTTCTAAAATTATTTTACAAATACAATTTACTAACAAAAAGGTTGCACAAATATAGGGTATGGCTGCAAATCCCCCCGTTAGGCAGGCACGTTGGTTTACTATTCCGCAGGGTAGTTTTGAATGTCCAAGAAAAAGAAGAGAAAATGAAGAAAAAAAAAAAGGTTTCTTTTTATCGACCAAAGGAAGCAAATACATTATTTTTACAGAAAAAAACCCGTTCACATTTTGGGCATTCAGTCATTTTATCTAGCTTGACCAGAAATGAGAATTTTAACTACAATTGAGATTATAGGGTACTGCTCTATTTACAAGAGGCGAATCAAAAGTTAATTAATAGTCACTTGTCATATGATTAAACTTCTGCTTTTTAAACATTGATTTTATCTGTTTTAGATAAATTAGTAAGAAAACTGAAATAGAAAAGAAAAGTTAAAACTGTATTGCCTATCTTTCTCTAATATCTTACAATGCTTTAATATATTTAACAATTTTATTGTATTTATTTAGGTTAAGTATGATTAAATGATGAAAATTTATATAAAATAAAATACATCATGCATTTCTAGTTTAGTGCATACACCAGGTGCATCTAAGCTTTTTTCTTTTCTACAATGACCTTTGGCACAAAGGTCAAGCAGATTATTTGGACACCACCAACATATTTAACAATGAGGGTCAATTAGCCTTGTGGTCCATTACAAACTCTTTTTAGTTTTATGTCAAATCTCTCGAAGATATTTATTTTTACACGCAAAAGATCTTTACAGAGTCATTTTCTTCCATTCAAAGTGTTGTGTTGAATCATTGCCTCGGAAAAAGAATCACGCTACATTACAGAACATTGTGTTTTTAAAGAATTTAAGTAAATACGAACTCGTTCTCTCTGCATAATTCTGGAGAAAATTGATGTTGGATTTACAACAACAACAACAACAACAACAAAAAAAAAAAAAAAAAAAAAAAAAAAAAAAAAAAAAAAACTATAGAACAACACTTTGAAATGAAGTTCTTGATTTTAAAAAAGAACAGATCCACGCTAAACTTATGGCAGGTGAGCTTCACTATTACCCGTTGATTCCGGTATGCTCACCCCTATGGAGAGAAAACAAGAATACTCTAATGCATACCTTCAAATTAGGGAAAAATGAGAGCAAGTAGGGTTGCATGGATAGGGACAATCAATATATTTTGCAGCTTTACGGTTGAAGTACCACTCTCCTACAGCCTCTGCAATTGTCTGTTCAATGGTCAGAAAAACGATCATCAGTAACTGCTAGTTCAATCTATTGCAATAGACTCAGAAATGACTTGCTGAAATAGCACGTCGTTTAAACGCGGTGTCCTAAGAATGTGAGATCACCAAAGTTGGAGGAAACATAGCTCAATCTGTGTAATAACACATGGTTTCCAAGCTGCAAGTGCTCAATGTATTTGCACCCTCCAGCTTGAGGGGGAGTGTTCACTATTCACAGTGCAGTTACACTGGTCACTGTAGTATAATTAAGTAGCTCTATTTGTTAGAGATTTGATAGAATTTGTGTCGATTAGGGAAGTTAATGAGGACATGTGCGTATATATTGAGCTTTGGACAGAATTTTTCCATTTTTCATGTGAAAGCCAGAAGATCAGTTGAGCAAACTTTCCCAAACTCCATTCCTCTCATTTTCCCTCAGCTCATATTCAGTTCAGGGGTTTAAGCTCGAAGCCATTCCCAAATTGCGACGAGATTAGACTGTCCAGACAGTTTTTGTATCTGGTTTTAGATTTTTGCTTGTATGTCATACTTCTTAGAGATGGTCTCTCAATATAACAGATCTGTGGTCTCGGAAATGGAAAAAATGTGGAGAAGTTAATGATTTACACTGCAGAAAGAATTCAGTCTAAGCTTGTCCTATTCTAGGATATGATGATATTATGCAATCTCGAACTGAACTAGCACAAGGAGATTTTTAAGAAAAGTTCGCATTAAATTATGCTAGCCCGACAGGAAAAATCTGATATCCGTCATGCCAAGTTCAAACTAAAGATAATTCCTCACGAGGGCTTTGAAGCAACGTGGTTAACCAAAAAGGCACCGTTAAGGTTACATCTGGAGTAAAATATAGCATAACTGATCTCTAGAAAGATCTAACTTAAGCTTTTAGGTCTAACTGCACATTAAATTAGACATTCATTAACTTTTCTAGTGTTTCTTACTTTGGTTTCTTTTAAGTTTCACAGACCCTGATATTCTCACTGTTGGTGAAAGGGTAAAAGGGCGGATTCACAGATGTGTACAGTTAATAATTACCTTACCCATCTACCAACCACTTATCCATCTTGCTAACTGTTGGGTGCATCGGATAGATATGTCAGTACTTATCCTCTTACTACAGGACGCTTAGCTAGCCAACTCTTAGCTCCGGCACTACCCAAACTTTACTGGTTCACCCCAAAACTCCCCACTTGTCCGACTGTTGCAGAGCAGTTTTTGGCATGCTGATAAAATTTGAACCGCCTGCAGACCAAAAATAGAATAACGGGAAAACTTACTTTGTTATCTATTTTTGGAGAATAAGGAGCATGCCATGTCCCAGTCATCCATGTCTGGCAATGTGAAAAGCAAGAAATTATGAACATGCCTCCTTCTGGATTTTGCTGAAATCCATCGAGCTTTTTGAGCAAAGACTTCCGGAAATCTGTGGATAATGGATAATTAATAAGGTAACAACTGAGTATCCGCAACAGCTATTGCTCACTTTTTAAATCAATAGGTCCAAGATATTATCCAAAAAGAATAATACAAGCTCAAAGACTTAGACTTCAGAGATTGGTTCAGGATTATTCCCTGATATCATCCCACTAAACATAGCAAGCATGCAAGCATCACAATTCTGGACTCCTCAAAAGAAAGCCTACTCGTGATAACTATGATGGCTGTTTTCAGATGTAAGTATTCACCTTCCAGGACTTCAAGCTGCTTGGAATTACAGAGTGTGATATTTAGCTTGCATCTGAGCCAACTTCCATGTGGATCCGCTGAATCAGGTATCAAGACGTTTTGTATCTGTAAGTATAAACAGTAAGTTAAGAGAGCATCTAGAAGAAAAAAAAAGTTTATATTAGCTAGAAGCTGAAACAACATGGACCAAAAACTTACTTGCCAAAAATCATATCCCGGGTTAACAAGGAAAACAGGGGTCTTTATGTTGCTTATAAATTCTTCAGGGAAAAAACACTGAGATTGAGGCCACCAGAAAGTCACAGTAGAGAAAAGGTGAATTACAAAAGAAGAAACAATGTCAGTAATCCCATTATAAATGCCAAAATCGCACCTTATAAGGTTCCAATCTTGATGTGCAATCCTTCTTTAAACTTTTTGCTGAACCCTGGGAAGGATCAAATTGCAGTCAGGATTAAGTGAGAAATTAGAACAACTGCAATCAAGAAACAGGGTCTACACGGATAAAAAGTTGATAACTACAATAGTTGGAAAAATGGAATCAAGAAACCAGGTTCGCAGGTAGATGATTCATATTTCATAAACATTGTAATTTGTTCAAAACAGCACTTTAGGAATTATGCCACTGATTAGTAACATGATTTTATTGATGCAGTGCAAGCAAATTCAGCAGCAATATTGTTCCTTCACATCTATAGATAACCAACCTCTCAACAGTAAAATCTTAAATCATTGATTCCCACTTAAATAACTTTTTGCAGTCTTCTCCTTTTCACGGATTTCTATTTGGTTCACAAGTAGAAATTGAGTGACACCAGGTTTCAGTCTACATTTATTCATTATGTGCCGATCATAGGACCTTCATAGTTCATAGTAGCATGTGCCATCTACAAAAATTATCACATACATTATACACAGTAAGTATGCCAACCAATTGTATTATCAGTTAATTACAGACTTTTCTCATTTAGATCTCTCCAGATTCCTGTTCAACAGCATCCATTTTGCACATTAAAAATGCAGAAATATCACATCTGATTTTCTATTCCGTGATTCTTTTTTTTTATTGGTCATATGCATCACAAGTTATGAAATGAAATAGTATCATCTATTCCATCCCATGTTGAATTATTTTTCCTCATATCTTTTACATCAATAATTTCTCCATCAACATGCATTTAATAACATCCATCTAATTAATTACATCGGAATATGACCGGATTTTAAAAGGAAGAAGGAATAACTATATCGAGACAGCCCATCACAAGCAGAGAAGGAACAAAAGCGTTTACCCAAAAAAAAAGGTGAAGCAGAAAATGAGTTTCTGAATTATTAGAAAAAACCTGGAGGTTAACAACATCTTCATAAAATCGCTCAAATGTGGGAATTCCAGCAATATCCTTTCTGAAATAGTGAAGGCAATAACAGACTTACAGTTGATTCAAGGTTTCACTACATGCTCAAGAACTTAACAGTTCTTAAAATGCGTACACCTCTACTTTCTTGGGAATGGAATTGTCACTCTCATTCTACAAAACTTAATGCAAATTTTTAGACAAAAAGAATCATCACCAATATTTGATTAGAGTCTGAAATCTCAAAATTTAAAGGGAAAGGTGCCCCTTTTGTACAAAATGATTAACATACCAAGATGCTCAGTAGTTTCCTCCTGCCCCAATGAGTCATGCATTTCTCTTAATTGAAACTTTGTCAACTATTGCAGTTTTAGGATTAGATCTATTATTGTGAGCCAGTCCTTACCGATTATTAAGTTTTTAGCATGAGACTTTGCACCGTCAGTTAAGTTTTTTCAGTTGTGAGTACATTAGCTCATTCAGTAATTCACACCCCACCCTTCCGGGCTATCTTTACTCCCTCTCCCAATTTATGTGAAGGTGTTAGGGGTTAGTAGTACAAGGTTCAAGCACCAAATTTTTGGTGTGAATTCGGGGATATATTCTTCACTTTTCAGAAAATAAAATTTACATATTCGAAAACTATATGAAAAATACTACAAGTCAACATAGTTAACAATTCAAAAAATTTAGAAAGGCTTAATGAAGATCGCAGTAAAACAAATTGTTTGACTCATCAAATAGTAACACCTTCACATAAATGTAACGGAGGGAAGCTATTTAAAAGTTTAAAACCGTGTGCATATCTATTTACATAATTTTTGTTTATTTTTTCCCAAATGCAGGTATCTAGCTCATTCATTATCTAACACTTTATTACTTCCTGGCTATCTTTTACAGTATATAACTAAAGAATTGACTCTACCATCAAGTTGCTTCCGATAACTTACTCCTACATATCTGAATTATATTCCAAATGACATTCTAACTTTGAAAATATACCTGCTTCCAGGAACAAGTATATTAATCATGTTTGATAGTCAAGATCCAGAAATAGATATATTAGTGCATCTTTTAGATGCATAGTGATATCTAGAAGACATACTCATTGAGGAAAAAACCTGCATCGCTAAGGCACTTGACATTGGCATTCTTGGGTAACATCTCTCGGAAGTCATCACAGTGTATGAGAGCTGCCAGACCTCCAGCCGAGCACCCCGAAAGAAGAGCCTGCAAAGTTAGGCAATTAAACGCTGCAACTCTTGGACTTCTAGGTCCATTAATTCAATAAAAGCAATAACAACACTTTTTCCTGACGAAGGAAAAGCAGTAACCACCTCTTAGTGCACTTAGAAAGATATGGTATATTGATTAGAATCTTCAGAATGATGTATGATTTTTTTTCTTTTTCTTTTTTTCCCTTTTTGAAGATTGAATCGAGTATCTGTTAGTTTGTAGAATATATACTTCAGAACTAAAGAAAGAAATTCACTAAGAAAATGAAGAAAACAAAGCAAAATGTTTTATCTAACAGAAAAGTGAAACAACTAAAATTCAATGAGATAAAAGAAAAAGAATACCTGTTTAGCATTAGAAAGTCCTAATGACAAGAGTTCATCCATTATTGCTTCCCAAATAAGCTGGCCTCTGAAGAAGAGTCCCGTTCCATTCTGCCATAAATGAATCGACAATATAGGCACTCAATGCTTCTTTGCCTTCTTCTCCTCATCTCCTTGATGAGCGTCAGAATATGCACAACAATTTCATAATCTTTAATAATAAACCTTCAAAACTTACTTTAAATTCACTCTCTGGGTGTCCAGTAAAGGATCCACCATCGCAATAGCGTATCTTGACTTTGTTCCATTCAAAGAAGTCTGAAGAAAGTGAAATTGGCCGAACAAGTGCGTAAGAACCCTTAACAAAGCAAATTTGCATATTAAAGAAAAAAAAGTCAAATAGTAATACCTAGTTTTTGTCAAAAGTGACACTTGTTCTCATCAACAAACACGGAAAGAAAAACTATGTGGTAATTATTGAGATTCAAAAAGGAAAAGAATTCAAGTAAGCTCGTTATTTTTTTTTATTTTTTTTGATAAGTTAATGTATTTCATAGAAAGCATCAAGAAGATGCAGAATTCAGAATTTACAGAGCAAAGGAATAGAGAAAAAAAGAAGACAATGTTAGCTCTATTGTACTTGTATTAGGAATAGAGAAAAAAAGAAGACAATGTTCCTCTAAGTCTCGACAAACATGAATTTTTGGAGATGGTTAATTTATGGGCAACAGAAAAATATAAAATAATCATGAGCTATCTAGTGTACTTGTAAAGTTGATGTCTTCTTCTAGTAGATACAAACATTGGAGGATCCAAACTTTAAGCATAATGAAAATTTGTAGGAAGATTATAATGATAACAAACATTGAACACAATGTATCAAGAAGTCAATTTTCTCTTTTTTATTTATTTATAAAGATTAAGGAGTTATTTCCTAAACCATCATCGTAGTTACTTACCCGGATTTAGTGATGGGTCAGAGCTCAAAATTCCATGAAAAACATCAGGCTCCATGAACCTTGAAGAGCCCAATTTTGTTGTCTGGCGAACAGAACATGTTTTTATTGAGTTACACCAGCCTCCGCCCTGCAATATCAGTAAAAACACAGTCAACAAAAAAGAAAGGAAAGAGCAAAGTAGAATATTGACATATCACATCTGCAGGCTAATGTTGTGTGCTTTGGCTACAATTTCTCCCTTAACCAAGTCCATAACAACAACAAAAGATAGAGAAACCATCCTGCACTACACCTCGTTCCTGTGGACACAAAAAACGTTATGTGATTTCTTCCCATGTGTCCATGCTTTGATGGATAGAGTTACCAGTACATGTGCTGGTGGGACGCAACAGGTAAACGATCGAATGGTCAAGGTGCGCGCAAGCTGGCCCGAACACCACCATCATTTTAATAAAAATTAGAGAAACCGTCTCCTCACCTGTTGCTGGATTTCTTTTTCGTAATTTTTTTGTTAATGGGAATGATATGACTCGAATTCAATACCTCTATTAGGGGCAGAGCTAGGGGGTCAGAAGGGGTTCGGATTTCCAAAAATTATATTGTGTATATAAGGTTAATTTCTTTGGATCCTGTGTGAATGCGGGATGCTTTGTGCACCGGATAGTATTTTCATCAAGGGCAGTCCGATGTACAAAGCATCCGCATCCAGGCAGGATCCAAAAAAATAAAATAATATATATATGTTGAAGTGTGTCACCACTCCATTTAAGAATTGCAAGAGACAATTTCTAATGAGCAACAGCATGAAGCTAATTAGAGATAGAAGCTGACCTCAACGAGAATAACCCAATTATGAGTCCCAGATCCAAAACCCTTTTGCAAATGATACCCAGGTACGCTTCCATCCAAACAGACTGCGAAAAATTCCAAAAATAAAAAACTCTACACCTTACTACCACTTTGATCACCCATAGCCAAATATAGTAAAAAGTAAAACGTTGAAGACAACAAAAAGTATCCGGAAGATAATAATTTGAAGAGAAAATTACAAGCGGATCTTTTCTGGGCATTGCTTAAAGGGGTAAAGGGTACCAAATCGTCGGCAGGAGACGTTGAATTAATAGAAAATCTGTGAGAGTGAGAAATGAAGGAAAGAGTAAAAACTAGAATAGAGAGTGAAGCAGCTGCAATAGTCCACTCTCTTCGTGTTAATTTTTGCCACCATTTCATTGGTTGAAAAAATCCCTGAGTCGCCATTTTTTTTGGTTCCACTTTGGTTTCGAATCAGTAGATTTTGGCTCTGACTTTTACAACTACGAAGCTTTAGCTGTTATTTGTCTAATTGTTTTTTTAAGGTTGGGTAGGTGAAAGTATATGAAATAGGAAACTGATTTGTTAATTGAATTTGGACAATCATCCAACTGTTCTATAATATAGTTTAGCAAAAGATTAAATGGATCAAATCTAATACATTATCATTGTATTTACACAAGAAAATATCAAAAGAAAATTGCAATATTCTTTTTTTAAGGTGAAATTACACTAAGCAGTAAGTACTTGCAGATACATCATTTGTATTTAAAATTTTAACTTAACCAAATTATAAAATGGAAATTCAACAAAAACATTATATTGAAGAGCACAAATACTATTTTGAATAATGATTTTATTTTACAAGGGTGTTAAGTGTATAGTCTAGAAAAACATGAGGTATATGTACATAGCTTTATCAAATTTAAAAAACATAATAAATTTTTTCTTGGAAATTTTTATTCACGTCTTTGATTAAAAAGGAGAAATGATATACGAATCTCTTGAATTGGAAATGACAACAAATTACTTAATGGAGTAATAATTACTAATAATTACCAACCACAAATTACTTAATGGAGTAACGACTACTGTTTTTTTTTTTCTTGAGAAACTGGAATACTAATATTACTACTACTAAGAACTGGTCGTATTACATATCATAGAGATGTCATTTGCATTTTGGTTACCAAGTTTAGCCAACTTAGTGCATATATTATCCGAAATAATCCTAACAAAATGTGTTTCACCTTTGTCTGCTAGGAACTGGTTTTCTATAAAATGTGGTGGGACTGCAAAATTCCTGACTTGATTTAGAGTCCGTTTGGATTGGCTTAAAAAAGTGGCCTTTAAGCACAAGTGCTTAAAAGCAACTTTTAAGTGTTGGAGCTTATTTTATAAATAAGCAGTTACATGTTTGGATAAAAGTGCTGAAACTTAAAAAAAGCTGTTGAAGTGTTTGGCAAACAAGTGGTGGTAAGCACTTTTTCTTATTAAAAAGACAAAAATATAAGAGCAATTGCTTGAAGAAAAGTACAGAAAACTGAAGAGGAAGAGGAAAGAAGAGGGTAATTTTGGTATTATAAAAACTTACAAGGGCAAGAGAGTAATTTTATTGGTCAAACTAAAATGGCTTTTAAGCCAAAATCAAAAAAGTTGGAGTCAGCCAACTTGTTGCTTTTGGCTTTTTTTAAGCACTTTTTAGCTTTTTTTAAGCAGCTTTTTTTTTGTTGCCAAACACTCCAAAAACTAAAAAATTGCTTAAAAGCTGGTTTGACCAGCTTTTAAGCCCATCCAAACACCCTCTTAGTTTGGACTGCTTGGAAGCTTCCTTTGCCAAACTGTGAGATACTTGATTTGCTTATTGAAAGATATGTCTGACCACCACCTGCTATGTAACGACTCGACTGGTCGTTTTGAGCTTTAGCGCGTCGCTCGACGGTTTGAGGCCTTGAATAGCTTCACTTCAAGTATTATGACTTGTACGTGTGGTCGGAATTGAATTTCGGGAAGTTCGGAGTTATTTCGGAAGGAAAGTTCTCAATTCGGAAGCTTTAAGTTGAAAGAGTTGATCAAAGTTTGACTTTTGAGTAAACGACCTTGGAATCGGGATTTGAAGGTTCCAACAGGTTTCTATGATGATTTCGGACTTGGACGTATGTTCGGGTTGAGTATCGGGTGGTCCGGGAGCATTTCAGCGCCTATTATGGAAGGTTGGCATTTTTGGAAGTTCAAGAATTTCTTAAGTTTGATTTGAAATGAGCTTTGATGTTATCGATGTTCGTTTGGGATTTCGAACCTTGGAATAGGTCCGCATCGTGATTTATACTTGTACAAAAAGTTTGGCATCATTCCGGAATGTTTTGATATAATTCTGATGCGTTCGTCGAAGATTAGAAGTTTGAAAGATTAAGGAAAGGTTTCGATCGTCGATTCGTAGTTTTGATGTTGTTTGACGCGATTCGCAGCCTCGACTAAGTCTGTGTCATATTTTGGGACGCGTTGGTATATTAGGTTGAGGTCCCGGGGGCCTCAGGTGGATTCCGAAGGATTAACAGATCGGATTTTAGACTTAAGGAAATGCTGGAAATTCTGAATGTTGGTGTTTTCGGACCTGCGCATGAAGGACCGCAGGGGTGAGGTAGTGGCTCGCAGAAGCGACCTGGGTAGGGCTGGACTAAGGTCGCAGGTGCGAAGATGTTTTCCGCACCAGCGTGATCACGGAAGCGGAAATAAAGGGGCAGAAGCAGAAGCTGGCAGCTGGGTTATTTCCGCAGAAGCGGAGGTACGGCGCAAGTGCGCCTTCGCAGGTGCGAAAGCTTGCCCGCAGATGCGGAGGAGGGGAGGCCTTAGGGGAACTGCAGAAGCGGAATTTTTGGCCGCAACTGCGGAATCGTAGAAATGGTCAAGTGACCGTAGGTGCGACGATCGCTAGGCAGAAGGCTTGTTTAAGTACGTGGGTTTGGCTCATTTTCATTTTATTTCTTCCATGGGAGCCGGCCTTGGAGCGATTTTGGAGCTCCATTTTCATCGTCAATCATGAGGTAAGTAATTTCTACAAGTTGTGAGTTAAATATGCGAATTTGGGCTTGTAAATACATGAAAAATTATGGAGATTGTGTGATTTTATGAGAAAACCTAGAATTGATAATTTTGGATTTTGACCGCAATTTTGGAAATGGAATTAGGAATAAATTATATATTTGAGTTCATAATGTTATAGGTAATGTTTATCTTCAAATAAATTGGAATTCGGGCACGTAGGCCCGAGGGTTGACTTTATTGACCTTTCGAGCGGAGTTGGGAATTGTTATAAATTAACTAATTATGATATTGGGGTATATTTTTATTGGTTTTCATGATTTTTGACTAGTTCAGATTGTTGGGCATTTGGTTTGAGGTGTTAGAGAGGCGTTGGAGCCAGTTATGGAACTTCGGAGTGAGGTAAGTCTCCTGTCTAACCTTGTGAGGGAGAATTTATTCCATAGGTGTTATATTCTTATGTGCTACATGTTATGGGAGATACACACGTATGAGGTGACGAGTGTCCGTGTGTATGCTAGGATTCTTGATTATGTTCGGGTAGACTTAGGTTCAAGCCATGCTTTAATTGTACTGTTTGAGTTGTTCTTGCATGTTGATTTCCTTTATTACGCGTTACGACCTGAGACTAGGCATGCGTAGAATGATAGACTCGTTATTGTATAGATTTGACGAGCTACTTGATTAGCCGTGGAATAATTGTGCTTCTCTTATGAATTTCTCCCGTGCTATGCGTTTTCATCGAAAAGCTTTCCTTAAATTTCATAACTCACATGTTTATTCGCGAGTGGGGTCAAGGACTCGTTAAAGCTTCTTATTCTAATGGGATCGGGCCATTCGCCTCGGCAGTATCATATTCTTATGCGATCGGGCCGTTCGCCTCGGCAGTATTATATTCTTATGGGATCGGCGCCGTTCGCCTCGGCAGTATCATATTCTTATGGGATCGGGCCGTTCACCTCGGTAGTATCATATTTTTATGGGATCGGACCGTTCGCCTCGGCAGTACCACACTCTTATGGGATCGGGCCGTTCGCCTCGACAGTACCTTACTCTCATGGGATCGGGCCATTCGCCTCGGCAGTACCACACTCTTATGGGATCGAGCCATTCGCCTTAGCATTTCTATAAAATACTCTTATGGGATCAGGTCGTTCGCCTCGGCAGCTTCATGAAATACTCTTATGGGATCGGGCCGTTCGCTTCGGTAGTGTCGTGCGTAATATTTGACAAAAAACTAGTTTATCCGTGTATATTCTTGATTTGAGTTGTGACGACCCATCTGGTGAGGTCCATTGTTATATATACTCCGGTTGAGGGGGTAGCTGATAATTGAGAGCTTTTGTTTAACGTTCAGAGGAGGATTGTACCACGTACTTATATTTGTTTACACTGTTTATTTACCATGACTCATAGTTGTTTACTTTCTACTGTATTTGATATATCGGACCACTAGTAAATGTCGATGTCAACCCCTCGTCACTACTTCTCCAGGGTTAGGCTAGATACTTACTGGGTACGCATTGATTTACGTACTCATACTATACTTTTGCACTTATTGTGCAGGTATATATATTTCTAGTGGTCTTTCGGGCGCGAAGGCGCGGTTATTGCGAGGACTTACAGTGAGTTGCATCTCATGCTACGATCCGCTGCATACAGAGCCTCCATCTGCATTGTTTACGTTTCTCTGTCTAACTTGTATCCTAGGCAGTTGTTGTATTATTATTGTACCTTCTAGTAGATGCTCATGCACTTGTGACACCGGGTATTGGGGGTTCCTAGTGGATGTTCACTACGGTAGTTCACGTAATTATTATCATTTCACATTGTAAATTATATTTTATACGAAAATTGGTAAATAAAATCACAGGTTTTCTGCGAGTCTAATTAATGGGATTTATGATTTCAAAAAAAATGATAAAATGAGTAATTAATGTGATAGTTCACCATTGGCTTGTCTAACAGCGACGTTAGGCGCCATCACGACCTGTAGCGAGTTTTGGGTCGTGACATGCTCCATCTGGTGCATCAACCCCCTACATTCACAAATAATGGGATTGTACGTAGGATAACCATGTTCAAGGCATAGAAGTACAACTGTTGAGTCTGTTTCAATCTCCAATGGACTCAGTTGGAGAGCACATGGAAGTTGAAGGCCATGTTTAAGAGCTAGTAGTTCTGCTTGGGTAGGAGTAGCAACATGCACATAGTTATTGAATCCAACTACCCAGTCTCCTAAGCTGTTTCAGATGACTCCACCAATTCCGCAACACAAATGACTAGTTTTGAATGCCTATTTTGTGTTAAGCTTATACCTCCCTCGGGATGGTTTAAGCCATTTTACTTTGATGGGATTTTTAATGTTGCAATTTAGCTCCCTGGCTTTGACGAATTTGAATTCCAATGCCTGTTGAAAAATAAACTTAGGGGATAGAGAATAATTAGTATTGTTTTGATTATTACTATTTCAGTTCAACCAGATTCCCCATAGAGTAAAGGAGAAAATATCTTCCCAAGTTAAGT